CTTAAACAAACGCTATAATTCACAAGGAACGATTCACGTGCTTGACTCAATTGTCCGTCTCTATCTCTGTCTGCAATTCAATTCCCATTGTTGCCGTCACATCTTGGCAAGAATACCGCACATCTAGTAAACACTCGAGCATTCAAGAACCTTCGAGAATAGCATGACGTGTTACTAGCGTCACGTGACTTCCGCTGTCGTAACAATACTATACGATGATCTTTATGGTAATGAGTGCACAAAACAATATAAAGAAATGTCCAGTCATTCATTTGTTGTTAAGAACAATGCTATACCATGGGATGTGCTGTGACCACTGTAGGGATTGATCCTCAAATTTTAGCATTATAAGCCTTTAAACTCACTTCTTAGCCACTGAGAAGAATCTGTCATGCATGTGCACTATTAGTTTCTAACTATATCAAATATATCTATACCTTTATTTTATAAATTGTGGTAACGTAGCAAGTTCAGTTTCTTATATTTTTATTCATATTTTCAACCTAAATTTTACCTTAATAGTGTTATACAACACCTGGGTTAAATGGTCAAGTAAGAGTTCAGGTATAGCCGTTGGTTCATAATTTCAACTACTGATCAGTGGAAAGGCAGTCAGATAGCAGCATCTACTGCGACAGGGGCATTGAACTGAATCGTGGAATTGACTGTCACTCGTATAATGCACTCAGAACCAAAAGAGCAAAATGTATCCAGCATCATCGTGGTAGGGACCTCAGACCTTCTGATACACAGTTCAGCATACTGACTACTAGGCCATGCCCAGCAATATAATATGTAATTCATATATGATATTTAACTTCAGCCAGCTCATATGGGGAGGTTATAATTTATCATTTAGTCATGACAGCTAAGTACATGCATGACTAATTTATTATTGTACTTTTAATTTCCTAAACTTTTAGTGAGAAAAAAAGAAACAAATATTACTTTTGTATCATGAATCATTAACTTAGATGCTAGTATTATCTGTAGCTGTTTATGTTATTATTAATTGTCAAATTCTTTGTTATCATTCCATTTCATAAACTCATACGAACCATTATGTTTTTAAGGTATTATTTCTTTCAAATTTTGATATATTTATATCACAGGCAAATATTATTTTTCTCTTTGGCCGTGAGAATGTTTGTTTGATTGAATGCACGTATAAAAAATTTTTGTGTACATTACTTCTTTTTAACTTGTGTAAAGTTTTTCTTATCAATAGGTACATGTAAATTTCTTTACAAGGAATTGTTGATAATTCCATCAGACCATATGATATCATATCCTTTATGGACTATAGTAATAGATGTTTGTTTAGGAACTAGTACAAGTAACTTTTTTTATAAAATCCATAAGACATATACTTATATTGCCATGATTTCAGTGATCAGGTTTTGAATCTTGAATGTTTTTATTTTAGCATTTTTTAAAATCAGTTTTTGAGCCTTCAGGGCTCAGAGTTGCCTTTTTTTAAGGTTTAATTCTTTAAATATTGATGTCTCCAGCAAAATTTTTGTTGCCGATACCCTGTCTAGAGTCAAAACTTGTGAATGATTCCAGAAAATGTTTTATTCATTTGAGATTATTATGTACATATTATATCATTTACATCTGTTTTACTTGGTTTATGCTGTAATAAATAAAACTTCTTTAGCTTTGGCATTTCCCAATCTTTGGTTGGGAATTTTAAAAAAATGTTATTTTATGCAGTTCTTTTGACTCTCACAAAATTTCTATTTTGGTTTCTAACTTTCACACCTTATATTATTATTATTATTATAAGTACATAGTCTTGGACATTTCTCTCTATCATATCAATGATTAGGTTTTGAATTTTTAATCTTTTTCTTAATGATGTTAGTGATCAGGTTTCAATGCTTGCATCTTTTCTGGTTATGATGGCTAGGAACCTTGGTTTGGTTTTTACTTCTGCTAGCATTTTTGTGATCAGTTTTTGAAGCTTTAATTTTGCTCATGCCATGATCTTAGTTATCAGATTTTGAGCTCTGAACCTTTTTCTTGCTAGTATTTTGGTAATCTAGTTTAGAACCTCAGATAATTTTTACTTTATAACTGATGGAGTTCTGAACCTCAGATTTTCTTTCTTTCTAGAAAGGAAATTCTGTTAATTAAGTTCACTGTTAGGACATAGCTCATATATTTTATCTTTAAAAGTAGAATGCCTGTTTAGATAATCCTCTGAGGGTTGTCTTTACTTACAATGATGTACTATAGATGCTGAGTAAAGTCAGACAGAATACTAAATATGAAGTTTGTTAAAAAATGTATCATACTGTAAAGATTATCCATTACGTGTGTATTAGCATTCATCACCCAAAGTTAGCTGCAATTTTTGGTATGGCAAATGGAAACTGTCCAACAATGTAGACTATTTAAAAATTATTTTCCAAGAAAGATGATAAAAAACCTGAAATACAGCACCTCTACTTGTTTTTTTTATACACATTTAGCTTTGAATTTAAAGACACAAGTACTTAATTGGTTAGATGAGTCAATTGTTACCTTCCACAAAGCAAGGTATACAATTAGCATCTAACGAGGTTGTTAAAAAATTAATAACAAATAAAAGAAAGAAGGGGAACTTTACTTAATATTGTTCTTTATACAGTTGTTGCTTCCTTAATAGGTTTCCTCAGCTGGTTTCAATAACTATTACAGTTCTTTTTGAACATTACCTGTAGTTGATGTTTGTTAATTAGTTATTCATGCTCAGCACTAACCAGATGGAATAACCTAAATAATTCAAGACTTCTAGCTTTAAATCTCTTTTAATAAAGGGTATTTCAAAACTATTTACCAATTCAGCAGTAATTATAAACAAACTATAAGCAAGTAACTAAAGAGCTTTCTAAAGTAACCCAGGAATGTATCAGAATATTACACATAATATATCTGAGGGTGGAACAAAAGCACTGAGCATCTTGTAATAGTTATAATCCATTTAAATATTTGATCAATATTTACTGAAAGTATTTTTATTCAATAAAGATAAAATAACTTTTGATGGAATAGTCATTTATTTCAAGTTTTTTTGGAATGACTGAAAAAAAAACTTGAGCAAATAGTATGACAAAGACAAATTATAAAGAAGTAAAGGGATAAGTAGAAACAAGAAGAACAAAAATAGTAAAGGAGTTTGTGAATTACAATGTCAAAACATATTACAATGTAGTATATTCACAAACATGTTTTATGTACTTATAAAGTACTCACAATCTAGTGTTACATATACCTAGTACAAAATCATCATGAATGATTATATAGATAAGAAACTTTTCACATCAACAAGCTAACACTTTTCATATGTTGTTCTTTTTCTTATTTCAAAGCAGTTCGAAAACTAAAAGAATTAAACAATTACACAATGCATTACTATAGCTTCTTCTAACAAATGCAAACATTCAAAAAAAATATATAAGCTTTCAGAAACACAGAACACTCACAGCATTTTCTTCTCTATATTACAATAGTTCTTAGCTCAAAATGTTTCACAGAATAGAAGTATGTCAGAGAAGGCCATCTTGCCTACTTAAAAACAAGAAGCCACACACTTTCACTAATTATTTTCTTTAAGAGTTTTTCTGTAGGATAACACCTGAAAATTAGCAAGTACAATTTCTCTGTCAACCTAAGTTATTGTAAGAATTGGTTCACACAAAATACAAATTGTGTACAAATGACAATCAGTTTCACTTACAAGTCATATTCAGGAGCTAAAATCTAGAAATGAACTTTTTCTGCCCATATGGACACTAAGAATTTAAGAAACTTTTAGTTTATAAAACTAAGACCCGTGTTTTAAACAAAATACTGATTTGATCCTACCTTAATCTATTTATTTCGGACTAAAGGTTTCCTTTACATTATTCAATAATTAAATACGTTTTTGTGTGTACCTAAAAAACCCCATAATTTCTATAACCACCATAATATCTGACATATATGTTAACACTTTCATATTATACAATTTTTTTCTGATTCACAGAATATCAGTGAATCACAATATTTAATTCTTCCATAAGAAAGGTTTTTAACCTTTATATAGAGCCGAGATTTCACATATAGTAGATCAGCTATCTGTCAAACAGTCAGCTTTCAGTATGTTTCCAACATAGTCAGAATGAGAAAATCCGAATTACATGTTCATTAACACTAGACTCCACCAGCCTATAAGAAGATATATTATATAAATAGTGCAATGAAAGTCAGAACAAAAATTCTCCCTTAAGTCCATCTAGTTATGCAATGAAAGCTTAACATATACGTCATTACAAGTACCATATTATTAAGGCTGACAGTTTTTGATTCCACAACTGGTTTAATACTTTCCAATTTTTGATCAGTTGCTAAATATTGTAACATGCTTTCTATAAAACCCTTGTACAGGAAACAATATAATAACTTTATAGCTGTTAAAGGAGACAAGTGACACTGTAATAATACAATTAACTCGGTACAGAGTTACGATCACACATAAAGTAAGGAGCTTTAATGTTTATAGATTATGGTGCTGTAATTCCCTGATGCTCTAACCAACAAGGGTTCAAAGCAGTGGAGGGTTAGGGGATGATAAAAAACAAGTAACCAACAAATAACTACATTACAGTTCAAGAAGTTCTATGTGCTACAGATTAATGTATAGTAAATGTAATCTGTCAGTCTAATTGTAGCTGTTTCCTTTCTTTACTAAATCTACTTTAAATGAAAGTGAAAGGCAATGACAGAATCCAATTTACAATAGTACTTAATGCTAAAATTCATGAAATACAATGAAATTCATTGTACTCTGATATTACAATTACTCAAGAAACTTTGTTAACAAAGTAAAGTACCACAAAATTATAGCCATCCTGACTTCTGACAATTCATGATACTCTGATATTACACCTGCCTAAGAAACTCTGTTACAAAGGTATACATAGTAAGTACCATGAAATTATAGCTTCTTATAGCAGGTTATGATTTATCTAATTTTAGAAGTATTTTTAATATAAACTTTGTTTAATTCGATACAATACCATAAAATTACAGTTATCATTACTTCTAGCAGATGATCTTCAATTGTTTAAGAATCTTTGTTAATTAGATACAGTACCAATAAATTATATCTTTTTATAGCAAGTTATGATAATCTAATCTTTTATTTGCCAAAGCTGCAAGTCATTATACTCTGGTCTTATGACTGTCACAAAATATTTGTTAACTGTTGAAGTTCAGTTCCATGATATTACATGATTTGGGAGCTACAATAACTAGAGATAAGAGTACTAAGAAATCACAGTGTTTAAAGAGCTCTGATTAACTTCAACATAAAAAACATGAATTTCAGCTCTCTGTAGAATTTCTTAACATTAGGATAGTGTTGTAAATCTTGATGGCTGGTCCGAGCTTCATACTCAAGATCTTCACAATATCTACTTGGTTCATAAGAAGAAATGCTTCTCCATCAATTTGCTGTTAAATATAAACATATTTGAATTACTACACTTACACTTTATGAGTTTAAAGTTAATGACTATACATGCTAAAAAATCTTTACAGTATTCTCCTGATTAATACAAAGAACAAGGTTCTCCATCAATTTTCTGTTAATTATGGAAAAATACATTAGGATATTTACAACCTATGATTTTAAACTAGGAATGTTAGTAATTATGTTTCTTCATAGATATTTACACTATCTACTAAACTGATGCACACATAAAATATTTTAATCAGTTTGCTATTAAACATATGCTTTAATTGGTACGCTCAGTAAAATATTTGAAAACTATTGTATTATTGCCTATACATCTTACTAGAATTTAAAACATTATTCTTAAAATATTATACATGTATATTATTTCATATATTTAAGGAAGAAAATAAAAATCAGGAGTATATTCCATTTACATAGAAATTGCTCTTTGTCACTCCATAATAACTATCTCCTAGTTTACTCTCAACTTCTCCCAAAGATTTGGGCTGGTAGAACTTTATATACATATCTTTAAACATTGGTTGATTTTTATTACTTTTACTATACAAATGATCTGATACTGGTTAATTAATGTTGAGATCTTGACTTTGCAGAGGCTAGCCCATGATGTCCAGCACTCCACTTTCCATCTTGCATTCCAAGTTTCACTGTATTGGCAATATGTTTAGAATCATTACTGTGCTGGAATCTGAATTCATGTTCTATCATTTATCTTCCAGAAGGTATAGTAAATTGTATTAGTATCTGCTTATTTCTTGTTGCATCCATTTATCCCCATCGGTCCTCAGCTGATCTCCCACTCCAGGTGCTGAGATGCAGTCCCAAACCAGAATGGATTTATCTCCACGCTTCACATTTGGCTTTAAGCATATATCCTTCTCCAGCTCTTCTTCTTTTCAACCCAAATATTTTAACTCACTGGTTCAAAAGTCTTGTTTTCATTGCTCTTGGGACCATTCTTTATGTTCTTTGGCATATTTTAATCTCTTTGTCTTATTATCTTTACATCAGAAAGGTTTTTTTAATAACCACTCTTCACTAAGGATCTTTATACAGTGGAAGAATGGACTTATACCTCTGATGATTCTGCTAGCTCTTATGTTAATTCTTGGCTAGATTTTTTCTGTTCTGTAAGGAAGTTATCTTCAGGTATCACTCATGTTGTTCAGAGGTTTTGGAACCAACCACACCTTTTTCTGTCTGCTTTTGAACCAGTCTCTTTATGTTTCTTAACTTGGATCAAATGCTTAAAAAGAAGCCAGTCTTGTGAACAATGTCATGCTAGCTATAATTTGATCATATTGCAATAGAATTCTAAGTTGGTCATCTGTTGAAATTCTTGGCAATGTAATGTATAACAATTTTGGACAGACAAATGTAAAATCCTTAATATTTTACTAATACAAAAATCAAGACTTTTATATTCCAGCAACACTTTTTTATAATTAGTTAAAATAACAAGTCAAAAACTACATAATGTGTGCCACTGGCTATACCTTCAAATTCAACATTGTGTTCAGTACCATATTTTATTCCATCAGAAACACAGGACCATAAAAGCACACTATTTAGGGGTATCTCAAAACTTTTGCACAGTACTGTATATATAAACAACCACAATGAAAACTAAAGTTGTATTTACTGTTAATTTATCTATTCATAACAGTTTTGTTTCCTACAAAATTATCTACAGAGGATCTTAACAATAATATCAATTAATTACTGAGAAAAATGGTAACTCTCACTTCTTCTCTGAAAACTTTGGCTTGTTCCTCACAGCCAGGCAGTGATTTTACAAAGTCACCAACTTCACTTATTGACCAGTTTGCTACTGTATCTCGAGAAATATTTTGAATGTTTGGTAAGAGCTGCGAATGATGCTCCCATCGCAAAGGCATTTCATGTGAAGGCATTGGAACAGGTGGGGCATCAAACACAGACTGGTGAACAAAGTCTTGAAGAGAGGAATGACTGGACTTTGATTCTTCGTCTCCTGTACATATAAAATAATTTTTTTACATTAATTACAGGTTAATCTGTATTTTAAATGATAATTTTTTGAAAAGCAAATGTTTTTCTTAATATGAAAACATACACCTTACATTAGGTAACAAACCTTCATACTAAGAGTTGGAACAGGTGTGGCATCAAACACAGACTGATGAACAAAGTATTAAAGACAGGAATGGTTTGACATGTTACTTTTTGTGCATTGTAAAATCTTCTTTCATTTTTATATTAATCACAGATTCCAACAGAAACTGTTGGTGTAATTAGTTAACAGGAAATTTGCCAATAATCTGTAGGAATATATATAAGAATAGGACTAAGTCAAATCTAGTGTAAAAAAATAAAAAAATCATTACTTAATGTAGTTTTTAAGTACATACAAACACATACACACTGACTAGCATTCAGGTATGAAAAGATTAGATATATTAAATATGTGGGTGCAAACCCCATGATGTTTCAAGAGCCTATGTATCTTATTTTTCCATACAAAAACAAAGAATATCACATTAAGTAATAAGCAACAGTTCACTATTAACAGAAAACTAGCTTCAAGCAATATCAACTTAAATACAGAGGGTTGAATACTTTATATTGAAAGGATTTTGAATATGTAAATCAGCAGGTCATACGGCAACCACAGATAATAAAAAAGTTGCAGTGGAAAGGTATGTATCAGAACTACAATGTGAGATTGTTTGGTGTTTCTTGGGTAGTATGATGCCATTAAAACTTCAATGCTTTTAAGAAGGGTATGTTACAGCCCTTTTGGATGCAAAATAATCCTACACTCAGATAATAAAGATGTGTTCAGATGAGGAATTTACAGCTTCCAAGATGGGACCATTCCTTGTACTTAATATCATTAGAAAACAGAGGAAACTGGGTCAACTTTGGGCACCAGTTCCATCCAAAAAGAGACCTACAACAAGATATAGCCCAGCCATGGTAAGAATCCACAAACATAGAAGTCAATAGCAAAAGCAGTCAATGTGTTCCAGGCAACATATCTCTTCAAATGTCGTATACCTCAAGCAGCTGGAGAATGAACTAAATATTCATTCATGATATTCCGTATGAAGATGTACTGGTCAAGTTGCCTATGAACCTCTACGTGACTGGAGTGATAAGACTGACATTGCACATCAGGAAGTCATGTGACAACCATAGCTGATATAAAGTGATGAAAGGAAATGCTTTAGCACTACATTTTGACATTGTTCGTTGTTTCATAGGTTGTGTGATGCCACCAAATACTGACTGCTTTTGCAAAGTTATTTAACAGCCCTTTCTGACACAAAATATTCATACACTTAGATCATAAAGGTGTGTTCAGATAAGGGATTTAGAATTTTCCAAGGCAGGAATACCCCTTGTACTTAATAGCATTGAAAAACAAAGGAATATGGATCAACTTTGGACACCAGTACCATCTAGAAAAAGACCTCCAACAAGTCATATTCAAGATTTAATAAGAATCCACAAAAACAGAGATCAGTGGCAAAAGCCATCCAGAAGTTTCAGACACCAGTATGCAACATAATTAATATGGATCTACATCTGGAAAAAGACATACGTTATGTGTACACAAGTTGCTTTCAGAACATATCCATTCAATGTTGCATATCTCAAGCAGCTGAAGAATGAAATCGGTGTTCATGCTATTCCAGGTGAATTTCTGTGTGATTGGGTTGTTGAATCAGGCATTGTCCTTTGTCCTTGTACATTAGATGACTTATAGAAAACTTGCAGGGAGGAAGTGCATGCTTTGGAAACTATACTACAAGGCTATTGTCAGTTGTCAGACAGAGTGAAATTAGACATGGCTACATGGACTGTAACAATGTGGTAAGGCTCCAAAATAATTTTAATATAATGTACTCAACGTCTGTACAATTTCACAATATAAAGTATATAACTTATCTAAGTCTTTGTTTTAAATATGTACATATTGAATTGTTATTCAGAAAACATATATGATACATGTAAACATCTAGACCAAGCATCACACTATGTTTTCTATTGATATTTATATTTTCAAATTTGTGCTTATTCTTAGTAATATAAAAAAAGGAAAAGAAATTACCTTGATGTACTTCTGGTTTTCTGTCCATATCTCTAGATTTAAAATTGTGCCTGAAAAAAGAAAATCAGAAAACTCTAGTTTTGTTTTAATTATGTATGTCCAAGAAAACGTGTTTTCAATCAGAAACTTAAACCTTTCTGTACTGGAGGGAGTGTCACTGATATTTCTTCTCATAGCAGAAATACTTAAATGAAACTTAGATTAAACTTTTTAAATAATACCTAGTTTCTGCTTAAAAAAAATCTTATTACTGATCAGAAAGTTCAATTTTATATATTCAATCAGTTTTAAAGTGTTTTATATTAATTAATGTATTTCTTTTAATACCTTATTTTGTTTACTGAAGCAGTTGTATAATGTAAACTAAATAACTTACTCTGCTATATAGTATATACTTTCTTATCTGCAAAATATTTTAATTGTTCTTGAAGCTCTAATTTGATTGAAACATACCAAGTTTGGTTGAAGTCATGTTAAACTCAGCCTGAGATGTTACTTTTTGTAGCTTGACTGGTCAAAGAACTTATCTGATATTTCGTGGGATCATTGCATTTTAACCTACTTGACCTTGTATCTGGGGGATACATTGTGATTGTCACATGAAGCAGAAATATTTCTGCATTCCAGTGTCAGTTTTTTGATCGGTCAGTTACACAGAGAATATGTATTGTAATTACAGTTTTAGGGCTTTCACATGAGATTTTATCCAGTTTTGAGGAAGACTGAGATGCTAAGACTTGCTGACAAAGTCTAGTCCTTGTTTTGGTAACTTTTTCATGCTTACTGATTGTGTTGCTTTATTCCATTCTCAGCTAAACCATGCTATCCATAGTTGTTTAAATACAGTTAAACCATTTGTTACTTATTTACATTTATTTTTATTTGCAACAGATCAACAGTCCTACTGCTACAACAATCCCCTGCTATTTGTCAACCTATTTACAGTATAATAAGAGCATTCTATTTTATTTTCAACACGGTGTCTTGTCTTATTTCATTTCACCTCTAACAAACTGAAAACCTGCATATTAGATCCATGAATCTAGTTTTGCAGACACTGAGTGATTATGGCATGTAACTTTGAATTACCACAGATAACTTCAATTAAACAACTTTAATTTCTAATTATTTTGGATTTGTATCTTCAATTCCTTCAAGTTATTTTTTTCCCTCTTGTGCCTTTTATAAGATAATATCCAACAGATACCGCTGCATTATAGAAAGAAAATTAGCAGAGAGAAGGAGAGCTAAAATGATTTGAAAGTGAAAACAGAGAAATCTTGATTCAGTGGAAGAATTCCTTTGTTGAATTCTAAGTGCTTTCCTTCAATGCAACATAAATTCTAACTACTAACTGAGATGGCTGAAAACAGCCTGTTCCATCAGGTACCATTGGTCAAATTAGTTGATCTTGAGCAGATCAGTTGAGCTCAAAGGTACTGGTGGAGAGCCATAAAGGTGTGACCAACTGGGATGTACCCCAGCATGATGGAAGCAGGATGAGTCTATGCAACATCACTTAGGTGCGAAGAGATATTATACCTCTGACTGAAACTTTTTTCCATGGTAACTAGATATGAAATTGTAACTTGACCTTGTTACTGGAGTAAAAGAAACCTGCAGCAGTAATTTCAGTGGTTTTGCTGGAAATGCTGCATCCAAGTGTGCCAACACTGTTACAGGAAAAGCTGCAACACATCCACAGATGTCACAAGGTAAGTCATTTCAGCCTGAGTGACATACGTATTAAAAACCTGCCAGGCCAGCTGTGCTGACGAAGAGGATGGAGAGGCAGCTTGATTCATGGAATGACAGAAGAAACATCTGTCACTGCTGTGGCCAATTTGGTCATTCATGGCATAGATGTCTTTTCTTGGTAGCTGCACAAGAGTCCTTATACCCTCAGAATATGTGAGTAAGCTACATATCAGGTCTGGTCACCGATCTAGGAGAAAAGAGCCTGTCTTTCTTCAAGTATGATGATTAATATACAATGTCTATGGGGTTGAGTATTGCCTGTAAGATTACAAGGAAGCAAGATAGTTTTAATTGATAGAAATGCTGCTAAAACTCTAAATAATCTCGTTATCACGTGAACCATCAATCTGGCCAATAACTAAACAGAGATTTTTTTTTACAAATGATGACTGGATTGCAGTGAATTAGAAAAGCTCAACTCTGCATCACTGTTGGCACCATCACTATTAAAAAATGTGAGTTATAATAGCAGATCTCAGTTCAAGCATCGACACTTTAGGTTTAGATTCATTAAATGTTATTTGCTAGTATAGCCTGTGTACCAGATAAACTGAAGCTCAGTAGTGAAACCATAAAATTCTGAACAAGATATGCATAAGTGTCATGGACCACAAGATTGTATATAGAGTATGCTCTTACAGTTCTGTATAATATCCAAGCATTGTTTTATAGTGAACTATGACTACAATTTTGGGTAGTACTACCAGCTAACGCTGGGGTTAAAATTACACTAGAAACACACTCTTTTCTTGCTCGAATCCAGTCCATGCTTACTTGAATAGTTAAACCTCCATTGAAGGGCAAGATATATTCTAGTTATGATTTGTGATTTGGCAGAAAAACAGTAGATACTGGATAATACAGTAAGTATGATGCAGTTCAATTAATGCTACATTAGCCGCATCACACAAGGAAATAAATACACAGCTGCCTAAAACAACTGACTGAAGACTGTGCCACCAATCTAAGTTCAGATCAGTGAGTGAATTTGGGAGGTTACTGATGGATTTCACCAATGTATTTGTCAGATCAGGTGGTCAGCTTGGAAGAACTAACATTAAACCACCACATACATGCCAGAATTATGCCTCCTATAAGCAACCACCATACAGGTTTCCTTGGTGCTCCATGGATGTAGCCAGTGCTGACATAGATCAAATGCTGAAGGATGGAATCATTCATCTTTCCAAGAGTGCTTGGTTATCACCAGTAGTTACTTATGTGAAAGAAAGCAAGTTCACCAAGGTTCTTTATGAACTTCAGGCAGGTGAAGCTGATAACATATATTCATATGTTTTCATTGCTGTACACAGAAGAATGTTTTGATGTGATGGAAAGATCACACACACTTGTTACTGTTAGAGCTTGGCAACTAACTTGATTAACTGATGAACTATGAGCATCATTTACATTGATTAGTAACATGTAAGATAAATTAATCTCAGTTATAATCAAATTGATTGATGTCACAAAAATAATCAACTAACTGAAATTAGTGTTTCCAATTATTACTATTTTTGATTATTCCAACTATCTCAGTCTCATGTGAAAATAATTGATTAGTTAAATGTAATCAATTAATAAGCCCAGCAACTTATCAATTACCAAATTCTACTAATTTCCCAGCTTTAGCTACGAGCAAGTCAAGCTAGATGAATAAGAGTAGAGATAGAACTAATTTCAGCACTAGAGAAGGTTTGAATGAATTTTGCATTATGTCATTCAGCTTCTTTATTGTTGCAGCTACTTTTGAAGTGGCTAATGGAACTCTCATTATGTGGTTTGCAGTGGGAATGGTTTTCAGTTTTGATGTTTGGTTGCATATTTCAGGCTGCAGTTGAAAATCTAGGTATACCAACTGTGACAAGCAGTCTAAAACTCAAGCCTCAAAATACTCTCTCATATGGATGTATGTACAGTTTCTCTGACATATTCTAAGTAAAAATGGTGCATTTAACATATCCTGTTAAAATCCAAGGAGTAGTAGACTGGCTATTGGGTGTGTGTGTGTTAGTTTACTTTGCCTGACAAGGTATGCCTTTTCATACTTGTAGGAACAGCATATTTAGTGAAAATGTGAAATAGACAACTAACAAATTAGCAGGTACTGAGCCCATGCTGAAAGAGATTTGTCACCTTTACTGTTGTTTTATGGTGAAATGTCTGTAAAGCATTATTTTTTCCTTTGAATTATGTTTAATATGTATTTTGTAAATAATGGTTTGATTTTCTGGTGTGTACATACATATGTATATATAAAGCACAAAAATCCATTTGTCTGTCTGTTTATCCCTTATCTAACTACTCCTAAAATGCTGGGCCAATTTCAACCAAATTTTGTGTGATGATAGTCTGGAAAAAAGGGCATTTTAATAGGGGTTCACAACCCCTCCATCCCCCATTATTGCTATTATTTAACATTTATTATTTTTGATCTAAGTTAACAGTAATTACATTCATAGATGGTGCCATGTTCTTACACCAAAAACAAAAAAACTATTAAATTTATATATATAGAAAGCAGAAAACTCTGTGCTACATTCATAGATAGCACCCCGTTCTTACGCCAAACAAAAAAACGTTATTCAATTTTCTCTCCCCTGGCGGAACAGCAGTGAGTATTCAGATTTACAACACTAAAATCAGGTGTTAAATTCCCTTCAGTGGATACAGCAAATAGCCCAATGTGGCTTTGCTATACATACACATTAAATTTTCTATAACACAACATACAAACAGAGTGGGGAGGACACATGAATGTCTTATATATCTCAGAGAGTGCACTAGTGCTCTCTATAGAGGAATGAAATGAAAAAAATGGCTGCCACTATTACAATAATACCAAAACTGAGATGAAGTTGATACTACAATAGCCACCATAACACTGATATGAAGAGCTGTTTCTTGAGTTATACCTACTTCTTACTTTGACCCATGACCTTACAACTTCATCCCGTAAGACACTTCTGTGGCCAATGAATGTAAATTAATTAATAACATGAAACAGTGTGGAAATAATTTTTATGTTCATAACTCAGACAAAGGACAGGTATTCCAGCTTGTATGTCTACATGTGTACTCTCTGTAAATATTTCATTTCAAAGGGTTTTTATTTTTATGTTCAAGATGTCTATATTTTGTGTAGTTTTGTATTTCATTTTAAAAACTTTTCTCTTACCCATGTATTTCATCTAATGCATCTTACAGGGTTGGCACATTTATATTGATTAGCTAACAATGTGTTTTAGTTGACGATGTTCATTGTTTATGTGAGTCTTGTTTCGGGGTGATTTGTTTAATATGTTACCATGTTTTGCATCCTGTTCACATCCAGCCTAATATAGGTTTGCAGTTTTCATGTGATTCCACATGACTGATGTTAAACATAAATTCATGGTATCTTGAGGATAAGCAAAAGATAAGGAGGAAGAAGAAGGTTGTAGCATGTGCATACTACATACTTTTCTCTCCCATAGTATAATCTTTCTTACCAACAAAATTTTAGAAGAGCAAAGATATTTCCGTATTCTGACTGATCAGTTACAGAGAGAATGTGTATTGTCAATGCAGTTTTTGGTGTTCCACTTCAGATTCTCTTCAATTTTGAGGAAGAATGTTCATTTTAGATGTGAAATCATCAAAACTTGTTGAAGTCTAGCCCTTTTTTGGTATGCTCTTTCATGCCCACTGATTGTGTGTTGCTTCATTTCATTCTCAGCTAAACCATTCTATCAATGTTAACAAACCACAAATTTCTTCTGAAACTAATTTAGTTACTCTATACTGATGTAGACAGATTAGAATAATTTCTATCCAATCATTTTTAGCCACTAGTTCTAACTATTTTCAAAGCTGTACTTCATCAGTAATTGTTCAGTTCACATTCTGTGACATCATTAACCCTTAATGACAATGCCATTTTTAAATCCCTTTTTGCACAGGTTACTGAGTTACATTCAAAATTCAGTTAAACAACTTTCCTATCAATGTATTCTTATGAAATTATTTTTTATCAAGTACATTATAATTCAAAGATTTATATTATCTCAGCTTTTATTCCTTTATTTCAAAAGAAATCTCTAAAACAATAATTAAATACGTCATTTTGTTGTCAATTGTGATTCAAAATACCTGAACTTTAGAGCCGATATACAAAAAACAAGAGTGTAATGTAGATGTGTTTTTGCAGACATTCAAAGAACATGTATATAGCTTGTTTATGAGCAACTCGAATGAAATTACAAGAACTTGTGTCCGAGGAAAACGTTGTAAAAATTCTTTCAGTTCAAGATAAGCCACACCCACTTTCAAAGTAGAAGTTGTGTTGCTAAGCGACAGTTTTAACTTGAATGACATGCTTAGAACCAATAGAAAGAGCAGATTTCCTGTTGCAATGTCGCCAAATTATCAGTTAATCTAGACATATATATATCCATTTACAAACAAGGTGAAATAAAGCTTAGTCTTAAGAGCAGATTCCCTAGTGCTTGGTTATTTTTTCTTGTACACATTAGTTTGACAGGCAATTAAGTTGCATTTAGGTTTTACTTTATTATTTTAGTAATTTTGTATTATTTGTGTTTCAAAATTCATAATTAAAATGTTTAATGATTTTTTTAAAAGTTATTCTATGCTTTGCCTCAATCAACAGGCATTCATAAAGTTAGTGAGTGCAACCACCATTTTGTCAGAGGCTAAAGTGTCTCTGGAGATACTAACATTACACTGCCTGCAGGCTCCTGTTGATGTGTGTCAACATAAATAATCAAAGATAAGGAAAACGAAAGGAAAATAAAACATGAAAAATAAGCTATAAATAAAAATGTGAAGACGTCAAATTATGCATATGACCCAAAGAAAATATTTTAAGATTATTCAATGAAGAGATAAAGGTAAGTATATATTTCCATTTCTAAATTATTAACATTTAATTGCACTGTACATTTATGATAATAGCAAATAAAATATAAACATTTACTTTAAAAAACTTTTGATATTCATTTACAAGATTCTAGAGATTATGAAAGTTGCAAGATAAAAAATACTATTTTTATACTTAACATGAAAATCACCTTGCAGGTGAACTATTCAGAGACCAAGCTGAAATAACTACATTCAATAACAAATATTTGGTAGAAATAGTAGAAAAAAATTAAAATTATATATTTTATTTTTCTCAAACTAAATACTTTTTTGAAAGTTCTTGTCAAATTTTATCCATGGTTTTATTATTGGAAATAAATTTAACCAGTTATGTAACATGCTTAAATCTGAAGCACATTGTTATTATCGAGTTAAAGGGTGGCAAAGGTCGGTAGTAATAAAACCATTAACAGAAAAGGAAAATAAGAGAAAACCATGAAATGAGTCACACAAGTTCAAAGGATAATAATTTCCTAGCAAATATAAATCTATACTTTGGAATGGACTGAAATATATTGTTTCCATTTGGAAATGCATTGTTTATGGGTGTGACTCCTTGGTGCTGTGCCAACATGTAATTTGGAAATTCTTTTCATACTTCTTTATAAATTTCACTGAATAAATGCTATATAATAATAAAATACCAATTCTTAAATATTTCAGAGTAAAAACAACTGTTGAAATATAATTGAAATTATATTTCCACTGAAATGTTGGAATTTGTTGGAATGTGCCAACTGGTCCTTACAGATTAAGAAGTCTCAAGAAGAAGAATGGAAACATAAAATATCCAGAAGCATTACCAGTCCACAAGTCATTTTATGCTTATATAAATGAACCATTTAGCTTGAAAACCTCATTTAAGGTAAGAAATATTCTCAATTATTTGCTTTTTTATCAGCAACATTAAGAGATAATAGCTACAGTTCAATAAAATAATATCAAGTTTTTTTTAACCCAGCTAAAGTGATGACTGATAGAGAATATGTACTAATCTAAATGTGTCTAGAGCTGAAATAACTACTTCTTTAGAACATGGAGTTTAATGAAATCTTGGGAAGTGCTAAAAACATATAAAAGTCCAATAAACAAAACTGCTTGCAATGTATAAATAAATACAAATGTTGACAAAGAACAAGAAATTTCAATGGCCAAGTATTCCAATTCATTCAATGTATTTATAGATCAACCCAAATGTTTTGTGATTAAGACATGCACAATCACATGTGATATTGAAACACTGAAATATCTCCATGATTAATTAGTTCACTTTTTATTATCATGTAACCCCTTATTATTTGACATGTGTACCTATCATAACATTGGATGGTGGGTCATACTCATAGTGAGAAGCTCTATAATTGAATAGTTTGTACTCTTGGGTAGCTCAGTGTTACAGCACTGACCCTATTAGCTAGAGGTCTTGGGTTCAAGTCCCAGTCCTAGAGTCTATTTTCACTTCAAAATTTATGCCAATTAAAACTGTAAAATTCAACTAACTGTACTTTTAGTTTTTTAATTTCCAAGTCTCTAAAGATTTGATTATTTTCTTTCTCACATAAATCTCCTTTTCTTTCTTATATTGAATGCCAATTTTTATATCAGAATGGTTTCTTCAATATACGTTATTTTGTGTATGCTATATATAATGAATTAATTAAATTTGTTTTCCTGTTTGTTTGTTTACTTTGTCGAAGTAATTATTTTGGGAAGTTTTATTTTCAATTTTGATCCAGCATGAGCTCAGACATTAGAGATGGTCTGTTTGAGACAACTGCACATAAAATCTAAAAGGAGTATAGAGGTAACTTTTATAAACAAGATACTGTAAAATACATAATATTTATTTATATTAGTTGTAGTAATTTATAAAAAAATTATTGTAAATTTTTTCAACAGAGATGGCTAATGCATAACATTACTATGCCTGTAAATGTATTATTGTAAATAAGCATATGTGAATCCTGGCTTTCTGGTAAATGGTTATGGAAGTATTACATAATGACATGGCATATAGCTATGTCACATAGTTAGTGGTATTTTGTTTCATTATAAATTGTAAATTTACCTAAAAAAATCAAACTTAGGTTAATTTTTTATCTTACTTTATGTTTGAATTTTATGAATATGTTTTGGGTACGTTGAAGTTTATAAATTATTAATTCTTTTGAACACAAATATAGAAATTGATATATTTTTCCACTGAGTTGGAAAAGGTTACACAAATCCTTAACTAGTGTAAAAACAAGTGCTAAAAGAACTTACTTTTTACGACCTCTTCCTCCTCGTTTTATGACAGAACATTGCATTGGTGTGTTTAGTTCAACTTCCAAATCTTTGGCTGCATTTCTTTCTGCAAGAGGGCATCCAGCCACTCTGTGATGAACTGAATATTTTGAATTCAGGTGACCAGAACCATCACATCCAGGAGTTGGGCATCTTCTACACACACAAGAAAAAACAAGGAGGATTCAAATTTTGATAAGGTGTAACTTGTGATTGACTACAATATGGTAACTTTAACTGTTGACCTACATCTGTTTTCTATAATAGATAATTTCAAACCAATGGTTAAAAAGAATTATGTTCTGGAAAATTAATTTTTCTTTCAGGAAAAAATAAATCAACTATCCACCAAAAATACTTCTACTCAAAACAATAATTATCATTAAAACAATAAATATATAGTGTTGATCAACAAACTTTATGTCAAACAGTGGAGCAAGTGGTTTAAAATTGATGTTAACATTTTCCGAAACTGAAAATGCATTTCCAATTGATACTTACCTCTACTCACAAAAAGCTTTCTCAACTCATACTGCCCTCTATTGGTGCAAACTTTTGCTCACCACTAGCCTTGATACTCACTTATTTCTGCATACTAACATGCAAATAATTATGCAGCAAGAGAAGTGACACCAATGCTTTGAGTCCAAACAAGGAAAGTTTAAAACGATGATAATAAAACTCATGATCATCCACAGTACATGGGGGTTGAGACATACTGACCTGTGAATGCAAATGTTCCCAAAAATGACTCGCATGAACTCCAATATCCAGATAAGGAGGAAACGAAAGGCTAGTCCCTGAGAAGTGTAGGATGGAACATAGAAAATAGGAGATAAGGACTGAACATAAGATACCTGAATAATCAAATCCACCAAAGTGGAAAGAGGTCTGGACAAGTCCCCCAAAATGGCACGCTACTAATAGGCATATTCAGGAAGGGGGAAAAGTGTAGAAATCCAAAACTTTCTGACAACTGAAATAATAGAACAATCATCAATATGTTCTCTTTGCTTTATGAAATTGGTCAACTCCCGACAAACCAGGGCTATCACTTCATGAGCCAAGAATCATGGTTGCTATATAACCATTTGCATGTTAGTATGCAGAAAAAACTGGGGTATCAAGGCTAGCGGCGAGTGAAAATGTGCACCGATAGAGGGCAGTATAAGTATAGAAGGTTTTTGTGAGAGGGGTAAGATATCGTATCAAAATTTCTCATTCATGTAGTGCCATACTTGGTTTGGAATGAAAAAAAAAATAGAAGTAAACTATATATAATACTGAAGTTTCCTGAACGTCATAGCTAGAAACAGACAGCATACATTTCAATCTCTTGCTAACACACTTTTGTATTGCATTTTGCAAAAAATACATTCTAGTTTACCCCTTTGAGATGGGTCACGGGTGAAAAGCCACGTCATCCTGTTTGTTGATTTCCATTCAAAATTTTATTGAACTACTATTTCATGAATTTGTCAATAAGTTTGGTTTCAAACTAAATTATAATTCAAATTTTAGTACCATATATTACTCAATTTCTTAATTTAAAGATTGGTTTTTGTGTGTCACGT